CGCAACTTGAGCTCCGGGACGCGCCTCGCGCCGAGTCTCCCCCGCGCGCCGGCACACTCTGCACTTCGCCTCCGCCCCTTCCCTTCCTCCCTCCGGCCCGCCAGGCTCCACTTTCTTCTCCCCTTTCTCCTCCCCTTCTCTCTCCCTTCCCAGGCCCCCGCCCGGCTGCCACACGGTCAGTTCGGGGCCAGCTCCCAGCCGGGCCAGCTCCGCCCCGCGCAGGGACCCGCCGGGGACGCGAGGCCCAGGGCGCCCAGGTGGAAGTCCCTTCCGGCGCGCCTGGGGCGGGGGTTCGCAATCCCTGGAAAGGATCCGGCTCGGCTCTCACAGCAGCTGGGCGCCACGGGAAGGGGGCGGGGCACTCCTCACCCAGCGGGCCGAGATTACTTAGGGTGGCTAGACTTCGGGAAGGAGGGCAGGTACGCTGGGATCGCCCCGTGGCGGTTTCGTCCTCCCAAAGCCGCGCGGGAGGAAGGAGCGAAGCGCCCGCGCATGGAACCGCGAGGCAACGCACTTGATGGTGCACGGGGAGCGTGGATCCCACTTTCCCTCATTAACATTTTGCCTTTTTCGAGGATTCGAGACTGGCCAATGTGCAGCACTTCTTCCTTTTCTTTATCTCGATACACTGGCGGTTTCCGTGCAACCAAACAGATAACCTCAAAAACAGATGCTCGGGCTTTTACATCTGAGCTGGTTCTGAAATCGCTGGTAAGGGATGGGGTCGGGGAGCCACCCCTGACAGTACATGCGAGGGACCAGGTGGGCTTGAGCTGACGAATGGGTTAAAACTGGGAAGGTTTATAGGCAAGAGAAGAGGCAGCCTTAATGATAATAGGATGCCCAACGCGTACAAAGAGCTCACTGCTAGCAGGCACGGAACTAAACACTTTACTGTTAAAGTCATGTCATCCTCCCGGCAACCCTGCTGTTATCCAAACGAGAAAACAGGTTCAGAGGGGTTAACTTGCCAGAAGCAATAGAGCTGGGATGACTTGTCCAAAAGTTCAGAATGTTTTGATGAAATACAGAATCAATAAGGAGTCAAAAGCAAAGTGACCTGGCCTTTGCAGGTCAGGAACCAGTTGCACAGATGGCTTCCAGGGGCCAGGTAGGGAATAATTCTAACAGCCCAGATTAGGGAGTTTGAGTTTAATCTTTATTTGTGCCCTCCCAAACAACCAAGGTGGTGCCCCGATGCCTGAAGAAGTAAGCTTATTCTCCTAGTGTACTGTGCCTAGAGGTAAAGCTCCAGAGTTCACTACAGGCCAGTGTTTCACCCTTAAACTACATACACATATCATTGTACTCTACAACAGGGGTCCCCAAACCCTGGGCAGTGGACAGTATCTTCCATGGCCTGTTAGGAACCCTAGCCCACAGCAAGAGATGAGCAGCTAGTGAGAGAGCGAAGCTTCATCTGTATTTGCAGCTGCTCCCCAGCGCTAGCATCGCGCCTCAGCTCCACCTCAGATCATGGGGCATTAGATTCTCATAGGAGAAACGTCCTTGGTGCCAAAAAGGTTGGGGACCGCTGATCTTGCCTCAGCGCCACCTCAGACCATCCCACGTTAGATTCTCATAGGAGGCCCAGTCCCTGGTGCCAAAAAGGTTGGGGACCGCTGATCTACAACATCCCCATGTTTGTTCTGATGTAAAAGTCAGGCTTTAGTCCCACATCCTATAGAAATGGAGTCTTCCTTTCCCTTCACAGAGCACCAGTGGTCATGGGACTTTCCTGAACAATTGATCTTTGGGGTTCATACATGCTATTTCTTTGCGTTTTTTTCTGAATCAGACTTAGTTCTTCATGACATTCCCTAACGCTACCATTGCTGCTAGACTATTAGTTAACATGGAAGACTCTGCCTGGATTGAATACTGGTTCTGCTACTTAACTCTCACCTTAGGCAAGTAAATGAACTGTTTTATGCCTCAATTTTACTATCTGTAATTTGTGCCAATAAAAGTATGTACCTTTAAAAAAAGTCATGCTTGTCCCCATTTTCCAGTAAAATTGATGCTACAAAGGCTGCCCCAGGTTTATCTCAGGTCTTTCTGCCTCTCAAGGGAGGGTCCTTGGGGCTACTCTTACCCAACCTTGAGAGCCAATGATTATAAAGAACTGGAACCCAGTGAAAGACTTTGAACTGGGAGGTGTCACATGCCAATAGTGATTTTAAAAGACTTGTCTGGCAGGTTGTGAAGGATGAATTAGGTGGAAGAAAGTTAAGTCTCGGAAACTGAGTAAATATGGCATTAAGTAGAATAATAAGTCGCATTTATCAAGCATCCTCCATTTAGGCCCTGTGGTGTCTGATCTGTGCATCACCTTCCACGCCCCAACATGGTGCTTTACTGCTCAGGATGAACACAGACCCCTATTTACAGGACTGTACCTGGCAGAGCTGCAATTAAATCTGCCCCAGTCCTGTCTCACCTGGTGGTTCCCAACCTGCCTAGACCTGCCATAAGCTGCTGTTTCTCAAGCGATGACAACATTCTTCCATGCTCCATTATCTTAGAACTGGCTGGGAGATGCCTTTTCTAATTCCTCTTAGGCTTTTGCTTTATGTTTTGTAGCTTTTTTCCTGTCCAAGAATCCTTGATTCTTTTTGTTAAGCTGGAGGGTAGAAATGCCTTTCAAATGCTTTGACTCCCTCTGATCAGCAAAGTTAAGGTGCATTGATGGCCTCTTCAGGAGGGAGACAAGGTAATACTTCTTACAATCCCTGGAATAGTTTCCTCAGGAACATCTCATTTCTGATCATTGCTGAGCGTTGGGGCCTGAAGGAGGCTACTGGTTAGATTCGGTTTGATTCTTGTGGTTTGAGCACAGATAACTCAGGAAATTTTATGTTTCTTATTAGTTTTAAAATAAGATCGGTTCCTCAGAAAGTTAAACATAGAGTTACCATATGATTCAGCAACTCCAGTTCTGGTATATACCCAAAAGAATTGAAAGTAAGTACTCAATTTGTACAGCTGTGTTCATAACAGCATTATTCACAATAGCCAAAAGGTGGAAACCACTTAAATGTCCATCGACAGATGAATGGATAAATAAATTGTAATATCTACATACGAGGGACTATTATTCAGCCTTAAAAAGTAATTAAACCCTGACACATGCTACAACATGGATGAATCTTGAAAACATCATGCTAAGTTAAAAAAGCAAGACGCAAAAGGACAAATATTCTACATTTCAAGTACTCAGAATAGGCCAATTCACAGAGTTAGAAATAAAATAGAGGTTATCAGAGACTAGAGAGAGGTATTGGGGAGTTATTACTTAATGGGTATAGGATATCAGTTTGAGATAAAGGAAAAGTTCTGAAAATGAATCATGATTGCACACTATTGTGAATGTACTTAATACTACTGAACTGTATACTTAAAAATGGTTAAAATGGTAAATTTTATGTATATTTTACCATAATTTTACAAACACTTAAAGATCAGATTAGTTAAAACTTTTCTGTCTCACAATTCGGATTTACATATTAGCTCACTCCCGCAGAGAGTTGTCATTGTACAATTCAGTTTATAATCCAGGTCAAGAATATTTTACTGATACTTGGTTGCAATTTAATACGCAAAGAAAAAGCAACAACCTTATAGTATTCACTTTAGTTTAAGTAAGATGCTTAATTTGCTCTGCTTTTAATAGTCATGCCTGAGATTTGTCACAGTACAAGAAATAAATGGCCCTGGTGACAGAATATTACAAAATTCTTTTGCAGCAATTGATTGGGCTATGAAACATGTATAAGTTTTAATGTGAATATTAAGTTTTTATTTTAGAGATACCAAATTATATTCTTTTTTATAGGAAAATTTTCTTTATATATTTTTCTCCCCCTGTGCACCATGGTCCTGGGTGAGAAAAAATAATCCCATGTCAGCTCTCAGAATTTATAGCTAATACAGAACTGCCAAGGACAGACCAACATCCAGATAATAGGTGAACACAGGAGATGGGCAGAGGATAAGCCGCAGTGCTGTTTGGGTGAAAGTAGACTATTATGTTAACTGACATTTGAGAGATCCCTCAGTAATTTTTGTTGGCTTATTTTTGGGGTTAAGCATGCACATTATGGTTATGCTAAGCCTGAGTGGGTGGAATTTCATATTGAGAAGGGGACTACAAAACAGGTCTTGATAGAAAATTTCAGTTTGTTGTTAGTGCTTTCAGTGTACAAATGTAGCTGTGAATCACAGAAATGTCATATATTCTAAAGCTGTTAAGATGCACATATAAGCATTTTAAACTTACTTGTGGAATAGCTAGCACATCCTTAGCAAATTATATGTTTTCAACCTCTCTGTTCTTATAATTATCAATTCTGGAAATGTTCATTAATTATTATATTTTTGAGAGCAATTTCTCAAAGGTTAATTTTGAAAATATTTTTAAGATTAGATATTCCAGAGGAAATATATTTTTTCCAACTTTCATGAACAGAAATATTTTAAAACGATATTCATTAATAAAATTACACTAAAAAGTGTGATACTTCTAAATTAATTTTGTCATGTTTGTTTTCTTTTTAAAAAACTTTTCTTTAAAATTGTCTGCAGGACTTAGACCCAGAAGAATCTGCTGGAGTCTTTTTCTACATACCCGCTTTTGCTCTAGCAAAGCCATCACAATTTGTTTTTCTTTTCCTAGAAGTTGTTCACACCAGCTAAAGGGCATAGATTCTC